ATAAGAGAATGCTTAAAGATGATTACTCATAAGAGAGGTATGTTTTGTTCATGGTGATGGAGGTCTAAGTCCAAGAATGAGCAACAGGATCTGTTCGATCTCCAGTCAGGGCCCCTTGTTTGGGTCACAACCCAGAGCTATAAAAGAAACGGCTTGCATACCCAAGGTCCTTTGCTTCAATTTATAATCCATTCTTCTGAGAATTAATTAACTTGGGTACCTAGAAACACACTGTAAACTTTTCTAAGAGCAGATTCCCCCAGTGACCTAACCATTTACTCTAGGCCTAAGTTTTTAGAGATTCTTCTCCCTCTGACTGTCATTTTGGTGATTCACTGGGGACAAGTCACATCAAAATCATAGCAAGATCTTCTGGGGAATACAGCCTACCACAGAAATTGAGACTGCATAGCCAACATCATTAAAGGAATATAATGGGTAGGATAGCATAGTATACACTACATGCTACTGTCTTTCAGACTTAACATCCTTATGAATATTTTTTGTTGTTAACTCAAACATTAATCCTCAAATATCTGGTTCACTCTCTCATCTCCCTAATCTTTGTATGATGCTTTGTCTTATCTGACACCTAGTCTTTTATTAACATCCCTTAATAAATTCCTAAGCACCGACTTTGAATTGATGGAAATTCAGTTGGAACGTAGTCGAGAAATGGAAATCTGCTCTTTTAATCCACTAAGTAAAGACACTTGAAAAGCACAGGACGACAACACCACCAGCATTTAAAAAAATGGGCAGATAACAGCAAAATAGAAGCAGTGTAGCAGACGGCACTGGGCGGAAGAGCTGCAGAGAGAATGCCATGCAAGACCGACAGACTCAGGGGTTCTGGACCTGCAAATGCACTCCAGGGCATCCAGTGTGTCTCTGCTGCTCTTTTACTAGGCTTAGCAGTGGGCAGTCTTTCCGCCCTCTCTAACATCTTCTGCTATTCAGTTACATGCTGAACCATTTCTAGTTGCATTTGGAGACTGTTTTCTTTAGTTAGTCACATAAGAACATATTCAAGGAGCAGGTCAGTCATTATGACTGGTGAGGAGACTGAGGAGTACAAAGAATTTCAGCCAGTTCCAATATAAATAGAAAGTCTAAGGCTGTTATCGATATTTGAAAACTGCATCTAGGAAGATAATTCAGTTTTTCCTTGGATTTAGTAACTTTATGTCATCAGCTGTCTTCTCATCCTGCTACATTGAGTCTGGATTTTCTCATTTTCCTGATGTATCTTTGTATGTTCTTTTCTCTCTCTCTCACCAATAACTCCCTATCAGAATTTTCTTGCTTAATTTTCCTATGAATTATCATAAGAACTTTACTATTATAATTATTGCTAAGAACTGTCCTATTTAGGGACCTCTGACAGTGGAACCAGTATTATTCCCTGGTGTACAAATGGACTTTGGGAGCCCATTCACCCTGGATGGCTACTCTCTCAGACTAGGCCCTCCCCTAAATGATATGACAGCCTTTGATTATCACCCATGGAAGGCCTATTCCCCCTGGGGAGTGGAAGGGGATGGGTTCGTTGGGGGATATGGGAAGATTGAAGGGAGAGGGAACTGGGAATGATACACAAATTAAGATTGTTTCTAAATAAAAATTATAATAGTAATAAAAAGAACTGTCCTATTCAGTGTTTTATCCTACAGTGTCCTATTACTTTAAGTGTATTTTATGAAATTTCAGGAAATGTTGATAATATTGTAAATAAACAAAGATATGACATTTCTAGAGGGAGAGCCAGTTTCCCCAGGGAAGCGATCTCTGGTAGGTAACCTATGCTCCAATGGGTGGCCCTACAGCCGTGCATCTACGGAAAATACTGATGGATACAGTAGGTTACAAAAAGAGGACACGATATTGGCAAAGGATTTGACAGGGGTTGAGAGGAGTCAGCAGCAACTGAGTGGTAAGTGATATAGTCAAAGCACACTAAATATATGCATGAAATTGTCAAGAACAAACAAAGATCTTAGTAAGACCTGGAATACTAAATACTTCATGGCTATTCGAAACTGTAGACGGTTTTGCTTTGAAAACTTCCTGTTGCCTAATATCTACAAGACAACCAGTAACGAAACTTTGAAGAAACTAAATGTCTATTATAAATGTTCTAAACAAAACTAGTTCACAAATTCTTCTTGAAAATGTCTTTAAATTTGTTTTTGAAAATTTACACTTAAAAGTTATTTTTGTTTAGTCCCATTTGTAAATTTTGAAACCGCTTTCTGTACTAATTAAAAGACTGCTATCCAATGTTTTGTGAACAAAATTACCTCAGCAAAAACAGAAAACTTAAAAAGTGTGTCTTTTACTCATATTTACTTACATGTGCCTTATTACAGCTTTCTTTCTGTTTGAGAGGAATTGAAACCATTGGGGACATTTACTGACTACAGTGGCTTTCTGTGAGCCCACTTCAGAGACTTCCAGGAATGATAACCAACAAAGTGTCCCCAGCAGAGGAGGAGAAAGAAATCGTGGAAAAAAATGAAGCACAAAGGCAAAATTTATTCTTTGAAGGTTCAGACATTTCTGCTGCTTGAGTGTTATTCAAAGGAGACGGAAATTCTAGATTGTCACATTACTCACCAAGTTAGCAATCTTAGGAATCTGGAGAGGACATTTGTGAGGGGCAGCGCCACATTCCAAGAAGCAGGTGGCATGTTTAATGAATTTGAACAACCAGTGTGTGTCATGTATGAACTCCTGGTTGCTTATGATAGTGTGAGTTTTTAAAGTTATCTCTGAACAGAGTTATGTATAATGTGAACATAATATTTCTTCTGATCTTTGGGTCCTGAAACTTAATATTCTCTCTTCCTGTCCTCTCACACTATGCTTTCCCTTTACTTTCTGTATGTTTGGTTTCTATGCTCTCCACCTGCTGCCAAAGGCCTTCCATTGTAATTCCATATGGTCCATCCGCTTCACTGAGAGCTCCCTCCTGGAACCTCAGCCGAGCAGCAGCTTGCTCTGCCCCTCCTCTGCTGGTCACCCACTTTGCCCTTCTCTCTGAGATTCTCTTTGGTTGTGGTTTACTGTACCCTTTTGGCAGGGTGCATCATGTGATAGCTCTCTATGAAATGGCTCATGAAAGTGATCTCCTTGGTGACCTGCGTGTTTGGACTATGTCTATTCCTTCCCTTGGATTAATTTGACTTTATAAAGAATTCAACATCAGAAATCATTTCTCCCTAAATTGTGAAGACAATTTTTGTTGTTTCCTGCATTTAGGGTTTACTCTATGGGGAAACAAACAATCAAATTTGGAACCCTAAAAAGTTTGTTTCTATATATTTTTCCTGGTATCCCAAGGAATCTATCTTTCTAAATGTCGTGCTGATGACCTCCTCTGCTTAGAATTTCAGTGAACTTGGCTATCTCAGTATAACATAGCCTTTGAGGTGAACTTGGCTATCACAGTATAATGTAGGCCTTGCAGTGAACTTGGCTATCTCAGTATAACATATTCCTTTCAGTATTAAAAAGAAACTTCCTTCAGTGACTTTGTGATTTCTACCTTCCTTCTACACTTTTCTCCTCTTTGAACTTTTCAGTTGGCCTTAATTTTTTCTATTTTTCTCACTTATTTTGCCTATTTTCCCTGATTATGGGCTACTGTGTCAATTTTAATGTTTAAAATAATCTTTGGGATGCTAGATGTTTCCTTTTCAGCTCCTGTTTGAAATACCAAGTTGAACTTGGTTCCTGGATGTTGTAGCATCTCCAAGTTTCATGAAGTCCTGACAAAATAGTTTCTGCTTCCTATATGTTCCTCTATTCAAATTATTTTATCTCTATATTTCATTTTAGAAATCCCTCTCAATTTTCTGTTCATCTTGAGTAACATGCCTATGGTTAAGAAGGGCTCAGGAACATTAGCATTTAAAACCATGGGTCAAGATCTGACAATTGTTAAGAATGACTGAGAGAGCTTTGGCAGGTTATTCCTATAAGGCAGCCAGGCATCATGATACTCTGTTAACTGCTAAGTTCTCTCTGATGTTCATGGAGGGCAGTTACCGTTCTGAATACTTAGGAGGAGAAAGCTGGATGGCCCTCAATTCGTGATTAGCTAAACCTGACATGAGCTGATTGTGTGCATTTCTTCCCAACTTCACAGTCAAGAGACATTGCTCACTGGGAAGGTGGGGACAGCTTGAATGAAGCTTGAAATCATGTCACCACCAGCCTTCTGAAACACCACCACCATCATCAAAACAACGTCACAGATCCCCCTATTTCCTGATATGTACTGCCTCAGCCTTTGGAACTATGGAACTGTATGTACCAGGGATTTTGCTATCCTCTGCCTGGAGAAACCATTTCAAACTTGGCCAGGGGTGAGCCTATCCCCTGCTAGAGGGACTACTGGTGCTAAGGACAGGACCATGATTGATCCAAAACACAAATCTGACTGTGAGTGATGGTAATGAAAAATCCAGTATGTGACTATGGCCAGTGCTGTATAAAACAGTGCTCTCAGGTTTCCCAGGGACTGAGCTTCCTTGTGTTGCCTCCCTGGTGTTTCAACATCAGGCCCAGTAGAGATATCTCTTGTGTATCCTCTGATTGCTTCCTTTCAGTACAACAGGCCAGGATGGTAATCTGAATTATGAGGCAGAGTCAGCAGAGGAACCAGAAAGTACAGATAGCAGTGGCAGCCAGGACAATGGCAGTGGCAACATGGAAGCTGAAAAACTTATGAGCTGAGAAACGAAGCAATCTCTGTGTTGGATTTACGGCATCAGCTGATGCAGAGGTGGTGTGACAGTCCAAAGAAGCATAAGGCTCTTCTACAGACCTGACCCTTCCTGGTAACAATATACAAATGGATCCTGCTGTCAGCGGCTAGTAATGGCCTCCTCTCCTTTTGTGATGTCAGCTAAGCTCACTGTGCAGTGACTGGGTAGCCCTTAGTTCCTGAGCAGCAGCACAGTGCCAAGGTTTTCAGCTCAGCTGCTGAAAATATTCCTAGCAAAGGCAGGCTTCCCAGGCCCTCCTGAAAGCAGCAGTAACTGGGAGTAGAAGTACTCATCAGCCAGCTTGCCAACAAGTGGAGAAGCAGTTTGACACCTCAAGAGGAGCCAGGGCATGATGAAAAGCCAGGACAGATGAAAAAGGAAATAGATGGCAAGAGAAAATGGAAAGCCAAGAGAAGAGGCTGTAAAGGTTCATAGAAGAGAACATAAAGGTGCGGACAGTCACGGAGTTGTCATGTCTTCAGAGCCAAGTGTCAGGATCCAGACTGAGAGCTGTAACATTGGCTACTGCCAGTGGCCAAGTTGTTTAGGATCCTGAGGCACACGGGAACTGAGACTCTTGTAGGTCAAGGTAGTCTACGTGCCTCAAGCGGACTGGGCACCACTCCCATGCTCTCTTCCCTATTGCTACTGTTCACTATTGCTGAACACTGGGGAAGCAAATGCCACCATTCAAGACTCTTGTCTTGCCCCGCTATGTTCCGTGCAGAAGTACAGCAAAAGAACCATCAGATTGGTGACATCTGAATATAATGTCTTTGCGTAAATAATCAAGGTAAGTGAAATCATAATGGATTAGGGTAAGCTCACAGGATCAGGGAAATTTGAAATCCAGACAGAGCAGGGAAGACCACGTGACTGGATTAGACAAAGAGTGAGTGATACAGCTCAAGTGGTAAGGAAACCTGCTTCTTTGGATGGCCCTCTAGGCGCCTTGACTTTGGTCTTGTAATCTCAAGAACCAGGAGAGAACAGATTTCTATTGTTCGATGGAATTGTGTCTAAGGAGCATTTTTGTGCTGTCCCTAGAGTCTGAGAACAACCCCTCAGTGATTTGATTTCAAGACTTCACTTTTTCCTTGGAGTAGGTAAGCATATAAGGAGAAAGATTTGCTAGTCAACTAGTATTAATGTAAGAATCTTATAAATAAATGATGGTCCAGCTGAGTATAATGTTTAAATTCCTGCCTATTTCACCTCAATTATTTAATCTATTAAATAAATAGTATTATAGATTCTAGTCCTAGGGTGTCTAGCCATATACAAAATTTAATTTGCTACTGTCAAAAGCATAAAGATTAACATCGATAAACATTATGGTCAAGTATCCTCTACAAGTTAAATCACTTTTCTCTTTCATGTAAGTATGCACATAATTCTGGATATCAGCACTGAAAGTGTGAATGAAACTGAAGACTATATTATTAAAGAGACCACTTCTGTACAAACCAGGAGTTGTTTAAACATTTTCATTTGCTAAACCCATTAGCAAAAAATGATTTGACTAAAATAAAATTATTTAAATATTAGTTCTTAGGATAATTCTAATATTTAAAAGAAATGCATTTCAGAAGGACACATGAAAATAGCAACAACAAAAGATATGTTGAAATTGCATGAAAGCGCAATGATTTATTAGTCTTCTATGATGGGAGTCTTCTGGGAGAGGTGGCCTAATGCACTGTACTGTACTGTAAAAGGTTTAAGTATCTGGAAAATATGCTCTGAAGTGATGAAGTAAATACTTTTTGGATAATGAGTCCTTTGTGTCTTTACAAACAAAGCTGGAGATTAAAAGAGTGTTCAAGTTGCCCATGCTGCCCCTTATGAAGGGCTATCATTCTAACAGTGTTTGAAATGGTTCGCATAGTGATCGCTGGAATGTGACATAAGTGCTTTCAGCAGCAACTAAAGAATTTGATAACTCCCTGGGAAGTAGCCCCTCAGGTGCTAAGAAGCTGTGCAGATTTTTTTAAATGATAGAAAGGCAATTTCTTCTCTATCCAACAGTCTTGTGACTAGACATACTCAGGGCAGAACATCCTGCCTACCACTACTACAGTGACTGTATCAATGTATTTGATGCTGAGGGAGTCAGGAAGCCATCAGATGAATAGAAGAGCTGAGAGGTATCATTGCACTCTCTTGGTAATTAGTAGAAAATCATACTGTAAAAAAATCTGTAAATATATAAATTATGCATACCAAGTACAGTAAGGTAAAGATTCTCATTAGGACTAAATCTTGCTTTCAAGAAATTTATCAAACATTTTGTGAACCCCAGATAATTTCTGCATACAGTTTTTCATTCTAAAGCTTACCATGTCTAGGTATGTAACTATATAGTAATCCCACGAGTACAGAACATTCACCATTTACTAGTGGGTATTGACTGATGAAGGGTCTGTTGTGGCCTTAAACTGGACTGGACAAAGCTAATGAATGATGGAAACCCACTATAGTAGCTGTAAGTCATAGAGCAACAATGTGGGCTAGAAACACTCATCTAATTGGGCTGAGCATTAAAAAATGAAACTTTGAGGGCTCCTGTTTCCCTCCCTCATTTTCCCCCTTCTCCCCTAGTTTAGTTTTTGATTAGATTTTGTTCTTTTTATCTATGGACAGGAGACACAATGTGACCAAAGTTGGCTATCAAATGGCCAAAAACTATACTTGGACAAATCCCTTTCAAACCTAAGTCAAGGGAAATTCCCATCCATGTCAGAGAATGAAGGGTTGCAACTCTGATTACCCTAACACAGATTCACATTCATCCCTTGAGTCAGATTTTATATTCCAGGACACAATTATGTGTCTGACAAGTTTGTCAAGAAGAGGGGAGTAAGTTTTGTATCTACTTATAGTAGTTATAGTAAGGCTTCAAGAGTAGTTCTCCAGCTAGTCTGTACTGAAAAAGGTAACTGGACAAATAAAGTTAAGGAATCCTCCCACATTGCAGAATATGCCAAGCACAGACATAGGGTAAACAAGGAGTCAGAAAAAAATTGGATCTTTATTGAAAATTCTCTACATTTGCAGACCATTCCTATGTAGGCTAGAAGCTGGCATCCTTGCAAAAAAAAGAATATTACAACGTTTGTGTGCTTGTAGGCACTATCTAGGGATTGTATCAAAGTCTTGGAATAAATAACATTGTCTAAAATTATTCAGGAAATTGAGTTTGAAGATGGAAGGCTGTATTAATTGTACCCATCACTGAAACTGTATTGAGAATTTTATATGAAATGTGTTATTAGGATGTCTCTTCCAAAGGATCTATACCTTTGAGCTCACCATACCTATTCTTGTCACCTACTTTCATGATGAGACCAAACTCAGCAGTTCCCTTTTTACCACATCCCAGCTGTAATTTCTTCATTAGTTGACTTGCTAAACTTGTCATCTTGGGTGAAGGGAGTACCTTGAACAACCAGAACATTTGTTCATAGATTCATGTATGGGAAGTGATCATTGGGGCACTTGTTAGATATCTGTAAAATCAATCACCAAAAGTTTTCAGGAACTAGACAAAGAAAAATAATCATAAATATAATATTTGTAAAGAGTTATAAGTTGACTGAGTTACATGTCTTGAATAAATGAAAATAAAGAAGCAATATATTGGGATTAGTGGATAAAAGCATTATGCATGTCGATAGATGTTATAGATGAAATATTACTTATCTTCCCCAAACTTCTTTCATTGCATATTGAAAAAAAAGCATAGATATTAAAGCTATAGATCTGTGGATGCTACAGTTTGGAAGTAGGTTATCCCCCAGTTTTCATGATTTGAGAACTGTGTTACCAGGGTACTGGCACTAGGAATGGTAACATATTTAAGAGAAGGATTTAATAGGCAATTCTTTGCAATAGCCTTTGGGTAGGTCACATCATTTTTACCTATAAAATTGTGAAGTCAAATAAAAGTTCTCCTTATAAAAGTTTTCAAGTAACTGTAAAGGACTTGGCACAAAATGATTCTTCTGAATCAATTAACAACAATGCCTTTTATCACAAATATCAGAAGTGACTCTCTCTCTCTCTCTCCTCTCTCTCTCTCTCCCTCTCCCTCTTCCTCCCTCCCTCCCTCCTTCCCTATCTCTTTCTTTCTTTCTTTCTTTTTTGAGACAAGGCTTCTCTGTGTAACAACTCTAGCTGTTGTAGAACTTGCTTTGTAGTCTAGTTTGCCCTTGAACTCACAGAGACTCCTGCCTTACTTAGCCTCCTGAGTGCTGGAACTAAAGGTGTGTGCCACCACCAACCAATGTTATACCTACTGACACAAAGTATAACTGGATTTTCTCTTGATTATAAACAGATAATAGGAATTGACCATTTAGAAAGTATTAGTGTCAGACATGGAAGTACAGAATATAGTGCTACAAAACCCTTCACCTCTTGGATCTGCTGCACTCTTAACAAATTTTCTGTTTCTTAGCTGGATTTCTGGGGTCATTCCTTCCTTCTTTGCCTCCATTTCATAAGAGGAACTGTGATATGTGATAGACAACATCCCATAGGAATAAATGAATTTATTCCCATCATTTTTGAGAGTACTGCCAACAAAGTTCAGCTGTCAAAACTTTCAACTGATGTCTACGAAGGAGAGAAAAGAGGCTCTGTGCCCAAGGTCAGGATCCTTCCCTGGGTAGCCCACATCTGCGACTGGTCCGTGGAAGGATAAAAGTCAGAGGCAGGGGAACCCAAAGGATAATTGTAGCCTCAGAGCTGGAACCAAATGCATCACCATATTTCTTATCACCTAACCTTATTTTTTCAATTCCTTCTCGTGGTCTCTAAGATCACTCTCCAAACTCATCACTCTCCAAACTCATCAATCCCCAAATGCCACTTCTCTGAAGTGAAGGGTTTTGTAGCACTATATTCTGTACTTCCATTGCCTCCCAATATTAATTCCAATCTGGTAAAGTATAATTTGTCAAAAAAATCCTTTATAAATACAATGAAATCAGTAAGGTTATGAACAGTGTCAGGGAGAAGCAGTGCAGTGTCTGTGCCTCTCTTGTCAAGCTAAGGAGGAGGGAACAATCAGAACAAGAATGTTTTGCTTGGTGTCTCTTCTATGCTCGCTCTTATTTCTTTGTATGACTGCATGAAGTATCATTTAATCCCAGTAAAACACTGAGGTATCTTAACACTAATCTTTAAGTCATCCATTTTCCATGCATCCAAATCATACCAGGACTCCAAAAGCATCTCACACCAAAGTTTTAGGTGTAAGAATTGTTCTTCCTGAGTTTGTTTCTTTTTTTTTCCTTATTACCAACTAATGAGTGCCAGAAGCATACTCACTACCAAACACACTGCTCATCCTGTTTTAAGCATTTTTGGATAAATGTTTTTAATATTTGCAATTTTTTCTTCATTCAGAAAAATAACATTAGGATAGCAGCATAGGTTATAGCTTCCACAGAAAACATTGCAACATTAAGATGAAATTAAAAGATCATTATCCAAAATATGTTTTTAGTCTTTCAAAGAGTAATCAAAATGTTTTCAAATGAGATTATTTGTGTTTATTTCTTAAGCTTTCAAAAGAACACTAATTAAAATGGCCTTGGTAGAGTCATGAAATAAAACAGCAGTGTTGAAATATTTATCATAGAAATTTTAAAAATCCAAGAATACATTCATTGCTACAGAGACAAGCATTATTAAAACATCACCAACTTTTCCCTCATGAGCTTTACCACCAACCCTGATGTATTTTAACTGGTGGTTAAAATTGGTCCTTGGAATTCTAGTTTACACTGTGTCTTAAGCAATCCAACATATTTAATATGTGGTGTTTTATGAGGGCTTCAATAATATTATAAAATATTAATATTTAGTATGAATAAATGCATAATTAATTTAATTGAAAAGGATAGTGGTTCACACAGACCATGGATGTATGGTTATTCAGCTGCCTAAATATATTTAAAGTGAGTCTAGAAGTCACTTAGCTTGGGATATTAGAACCATTGCTCTGATCTGTCCTCTTTGAAGTCCTATGTGCCTTGGTTTCTCAATACAGTAATGAGTTCATAAGATTCAAATAAGGAGATCACGATATTCCTCCAGGTGAAAACTTGCTGTCTTTTACTGACATGCTGTACAAGGCTTCACTTATGTCGTCTGGATTTCCTTTCCTAAGCTATAACTCTAGACATTGATTAGATATAAATCCTGTGATCTTCTGACCAGGAAACACTACATAGCTCTTGAAAAGCAGAACTAAGCTTTATTTTTTCTGCTCGAAACAATTCCTAAGCTATATTAAGACAAATAACAGTTCATGCATTCAGCTAGCAGGAGTCTGATGTGTTTTATTATATATGTATATATACACAGACTTGTCTTTTTACAAATTATTATACATCTTATGATGAAAAATATATTTGCAATTCAGTAACAAGTTTTATCTTTGCACCCACCAAAATGAAATATTTATAACATAAAGCAGCATGTCCTAGTGTCTGCTCGAAACTGTAGCAGCTAATTTCAATGAGCAGTAGAGGACACTATCTGCTTATTCCTTCCCATTATTTATTTATTATTATTTTTGCAACAAAAACAAAACAAGAAAAAAGGCCTGGGGGAAAATCTATAAGCTTTAGTCTATATTATTCTTATTTTTTGACATGCGCATCAGAACCAAAGCTATTTTATTTAATTTTTTAAACTAAGCAATTTTCATGTTCTTGCATTTTATTGGAATAATCGTTACATATACATCCTCAGCAAGTCTGTATTAACCTAACTAAATTTTAATTTCTAGTAGATACTAAGTACAAAATGCATAAATTTTAAGATGTCAAAATATTTTACTTAACAAGTATTTTGCTCTTAGCACTGCAAAAATTATGGCAGGAAATGTGTGCTGTATTGTATATTTTTTCTTTATTAATTTGAACCATCTTAAAACAAAGGGTGGGCACCTATGAAAATAACGTGAGTCTAAATATTTGCATTCCACTGTTATATCCAGGGATTCTGGGACATGTGGCTCTGGGCCCTCAAACCAGTGTGATGAGTGTGACTTTTGAAAATTGGCATATGTTGCTGTCTGCTATTTCTTCCCAGTAAAAACATGCACAGATTAAGAAAACCTGACAGCTACACCAATGCAAACAAAAATTTAAGATATTTAAGGACAAAGCTCATTTCAGAGTTTAATGGTCTTCATTTCACTCGCCTATTTTTCTTGTTAAATTGATGACATAGTTTCTTGGAACTTGAAAACATAAATGAAGATAAAAAGCTGTCCTCATATTTTAGCAATCACGTTCAGTTAATATCCAGACACATGACAGTGGAAAGCTGTATTCATCAGTCTTTGTATGTGGAATGGTGATTTACTATTTCTCTTCCCACAAGAGTATGAACTTAAGAGAGCAGACAGCAATTGTGTTTAGTTCATAGAAGAGGGACTAGCATGCATTAGAAACTGAATGACTGTCAGCACACAGGTAACATAACTGTGTGCAAAACAAGGACTTTGTGTGCAGCTCTGTATTCACATGCTATGTACACACAAGTATTTATCTCCAAGATGTATGATTAGTTTTTCCAAGGCTTCCACATTTATCCTTTAGAAGTCTGAACACTTTCTCCTTCCCCAAAGTACAAATGTTGCATCTTAGTGACCCATTATGCAATCACTTGCTTCATCTCTCCAATTCCTTAGGGAATCATACACAGTCCAGTACCTACAACCTAAAGAGATCCTACCCACTCTCATCCTAAAGTATCTTTGCACCACATATACAGACAGGAAATCAACAAGTCGAAGTAGCTGGAGAAGGGAAATAAATGGAACTGAGTGCCAGGCAGTACGTTCACCTGAGAAAAGACGGTGAGATGGGGGTTTCAGTATTTTTCATATCCCAAACAAAGTTGTTCATTTTTTATGCAGGAAACATTGTTTCCCAAGCTTCCTTTGGTTTTACCAGTCTAGAGACTTGAGACCCAATAACTGAAAAGGAGGTGATGGAATGAACTACTGCTAACTGACCTAGGTAGAGCAGATTGGAGCCAAACATGACTAACTGGCCAGTTGTGCTTTAGGCTGTGGTTCTAAAGCGGACTTAATAAGCTTGTCAAGAGCTACAGTAGCCTCTCTAGAAGAATTGCATGCATCTGGGATGTACTTTTGCACACTTATACTAAGGAATCAAGTTTGTGCTGTGTCATATAGCATGGGAAGACAGTCATCCTGTTCACACCACATGTTGAGGCAGCAAACAGATTCAGTTTAGCAACCAGTATGTACGTTTGTGTGTGATAAAAATCCAAAACAAGATTTCACAAGACAGTGCTTGCTCTGTCTACTTATGTACAAGGATGTTTTCTACTCTCTTTGATTTTTTTCTTATTCTTTTAAATACCAGCTACATTAGTTATACCACTGTTTAGGGATGGTGACACTCCAGTGGTTCCTGATTGTTTGCTTTGGTGTACAATAGAAAGAATCAGGGAAAAACACTCTGGCCCTGACTAGCCCCCAGGATGAGGGCTTGAATTGCACCAATCACTGAGCTTGGCCCACCAATCCCTGTGGTCTCTGAGCTCAAAATGTCAACAATGAAGTGGCACCAATCCCAGAGCTTGCCCCAAAAGCATAACACAAAATTCACCAATCCGAAGCCACCCTGGAAAGCACACCCTCCCCTCGCCAAGAAACCCTATATAAGCTCTGTACACTGTTCAACCTGCTGTTGTTTCTCACCCAGGACAACCATTCTCCTGGAGTCTTCCTTCCCGGTAAATCTCTTGAGTGAGGTTTGCTGTGCAATGTGACACTGTCCTTGGAACAGAGCCCAGCTGTGACAACTTTCACAAGAGCTGGAGCAGAAAGGAGCAGAGCAGAGATGTAACACTTTCGTTTGGGGAAACTTTCGCCGACACTCCAGCAATTGACCCTCCTGTGAATCCACTAACGGTGAACTTAACCTTTTCCTGATTTTAAATATGAACGTCCTAAAATTCATGACTTCTTTCCTATCTGTAACAAGTACTGAGTCTCATTAAGTAGTTCATAACCTTGGCCTATGTTCAGTGGACATATTGGATCTACCCAGAGATGGTTTCTACGTGTTCTTTATAGGGATGGTATTGGCAATCTATCATTCCCTGCCTGAACCTATATCTACAAACTCGTTAAATTAAAAGTGGGAAAAATCGGCTTGCATTTCTTCAAACAGTTCATCACTCATTAGCAGGTTCACTAAACATTTCCACTACTTGGGTAGCCATCACATTGTTCTACTGTAGGTAATTATGGCTGACACTATATCTTTTGATGGTGATTTAGTCTCTATTCATATTTGCTTCCAAAACTGCATTCAAGGATCTGTCATTGGCCTTGTGAGGTCTACTGAAATTTAAAGCTTCATTATGGCTTCTCATATCCTGAAACTGTGGCCAGCAATATACACTTGAGGTTATAGTCCCAGGTAATTATTTAAATATGGGATTGGCCAGGAGGGCTTTATTAATAAAAGGCTGCAGAAATAGATAGCTATTTTTTATTATGCAGTTGGGTAGGTAGATGTATTTAACATAGGAATAAAGGTCTCATAAAAAGTGCATTTTAAAAATTCAAGGAAAATTTCCAAACCTAGAGTTTGATTAAATCTACATTAAACATTCAGAAAATAAATGTGGTTTCCAATATGAGAGGTTATGTGACAAGAGTAGAATGTCAAGAATTCAGGAAGATTAATAAAACCATGCACGCTCTCATTAATCATATGTCCCCAAACGGCACACAGGATTTGATTTGAATTTGCCTCTCTACACACAGTGATAGAATCTGCTTTTTTGTGAAGCAGCCAAATTGTCAGCTTGATAAATAGGGTAATTCGTTCAAATATATCTGCTCTGTTATTTCTCATATAGGTTAATGAATGGATATCATAAAAAGGTAAAATATTTGCTAAAAATATAAATGAAGCTTTGATCTCTTAGAGCAAGAAGCTTTAATTTTTATAAGGAATTAATGGAATAACAACTTTTAACAGAATCCTTATTTAAAGGATTGAATATATATTTAAGTACCATCACATCAAATGACTTTAGTTTGCAAGAAGAGTGTCCTGGGTCAACTGAACTAATATGTAAATAACGCCAAACCTGAAGACTTTGAGTAAGAGATAACAATGCATGTGATTAAGTCTGCTATGAATTGCTGGAGGTAGAATTAGGCAAATAATTCACTTATGGCATCCTTTCTAGTGAAGCTCTTGAAAAATATCATACTGATTTGTATCCAAATATATCTTAGCCTCAATAAAACAATTGAGTTAAAAATGATTTTCATGTCACTGAAACACCACAGGTAAGGAAAAAGATAGCCCAGATAAATTGAGATAGGTTTTTTAATTTACCACAAACTTTGAAATTAAAAAAAATCTGTGAAGACAGCTATTTCATCTCTTCCCAGACATCACTCTTCTTGGTGTGATGCTGTACAGGTCTCTGTAAAAAATCCTTGCTGTCTCGGCAGCCAATCAACTTATAGCCTATTTTTTTCTGGGTTTTTGTTTTGTTTTGTTTCCTTTCTAAATGAGGTGTGAAAAAGTTCTAGGTTCAGCTAACGATGAAGAAACACAATTGAGATTTTTCTCAGTGATAATGTCTGAATATTTGTATTTCAACAATGTAGCTAAAAACTTGATATAAATTCGTCCTTTTTCCCCCTTTTGGCTTAATGAATATCATCTATTCAGTATGAAATCTTTATACTATCTATTCCCTGTGTTAAGAATAAACATACATTAAATCTTGGGAAGAAAAATCTGTGAAGATTAAGCCATGACAAAAATGAAGACTGGGAGAAATTCCTAACAATTCAATGATGTCCTACGACAGTGGGACTCTTCTATGTATACACTGCTATCCTCACAACGAGTTCTAGAGAGGAGTAACTTTTATGACTCTTAGGGTTTCTTTCTTTGTTTTCTTTTAAAAAAAGAAACAACAATCCTCCAACCTTTAGTTTTATTCAATCTCTTACATCTTTTATTATTATTATTATTATTATTATTATTTATAAGTTTAAATTTAGATTAGAAACAAGGTTGCTTCACAAGTCAGTTCCAGGTCCCTCTCCCTTTCCCTCCCCTCCTCCCGTGCCCTCCCCCAACCTCACCATTATCCCCTCATTTCCCCAGGGAGGGTGAGGCCCTCCATGGGGGTGTCCATAGTCACATCTTGCTATGGACTAAACTGAATAAATATTGTGAAAACAGCTGTTCTACCAGAAGCAAATTCACAGATTCATTGCAATCCCAATATAAAATCCCCACAATATTTTTCACATAAATAAAATAAAACATTCTAAAATTCATATAGAACCATAGAATGACCTCAGACAGGCAAAGCAACCCTTAGCAAAACAGGTAATCCTGTTGCCGGGCGGTGGTGGTGCACTCCTTTAATCCCAGCACTTGGGAGGCAGAGGCAGGTGCATCTCTGTGAGTTTGAGACCAGCCTGGTCTACAAGAGCTACTTCCAGGACAGCCTCCAAAGCCACAGAGAAACCCTGTCTCCAACAATTCCCCTCCCCCAAATAAATCCCAGATAATTGTGAGAGATTCGAACTCCATATTTCTAGATAGAATTATAGTAACAAAGATGAGATGATACTGAAACCCAATGGAACAAAACGGAAGACCCAATTATACATGTATGTAACAATTACTGTCTAGTAGCTGACAAAGATGCAAAATCACATGCTGGGGGAAAGAAAGCATTTTTTAATTAAAGGTCCTGAAGAAACTGGATATCCACATGTATTTGAATGAAATTATATGCATATCTACCTCCCTGTACAAAAATTAACTCCAAATGGATCAAAGATTTCAAGATGAGTTGGAAAATGCTGAAACTGCTAGAAGAAATTATGGGCAGCTCCCTACATGACATAGGTGTCAGAACGTGTTTGAATAGGACTCCATCTGCCCAAAGACAGAAAAGACCAAAAATTTGACAATTGGGGCATCATAACACTCAAAGCCTTCTATAAAATAAATTAAAGAGGTAATTAAAGAGAAAGTCTATACAGTAGGTGAGAATCTTCTCCAGCTTTACATCTGACAGAGGATTAAAATCCAGATTTCATTAAAAAATTCAAAAAACAAAGTGTCAAGAGCAGCAAGCACAGGTACAGGCGCCGTGGCTGCAGAAGGCTGCGATTCTTTGGTGGCTCTAGAGCACCTAGTTGGTGTGAGCCCGGGAAGGGCGCTCGCTCAGAAAAATGAAACTCTGGACCACCTGATTAGTCTGAGTGGGGCAGTCCAGCTCGGGCACCTCTCCAATAACCTAGAGACTCTCATCAAGCGGAACTTCCTCAAACCATCCCATGGTATTCTGTGCAACAACAGGTCCTGAAACCACAATTTTGTTTCACAGATAATTTTTAGTAAAAAAGCAAAATTTGAAAATGCAAAAATAGTCTTTTTATCATCATCCAAAAACCAATGTGTTAAGGAATTCTAGGGAGAAGTTAGAAGATCTGACCAGATATTCAACTTCCCAGGTAACATGAAGGAAAAAAATACATAGAGAATTATGTTGAAATCAAGCCACATTTAACAAAGCTATAGACACAATTTTATATTAAGACATTAAGGAGCTTTTAATAGGCCAAATCACCTAAAGCACTAAAGTTTTATTTAAATCTAACAACTTTTTTTCTGGAAAAAAAGGATGAGTCAGAAGCCAATTTCTACAGAATGTTAATAAGTTGTCTATATTCTAAGTGAAGAGAGTTATTTTCAGATGAATAAATCCATATGAAAGAACTTACTGTAAGCTTTTGATTAATTTGATTGTGGGGAGATAGGTAAAGACATTGTGGAAATTACTTCACTGGTTTAGAGAGAGTGAGTACTAGAGTTTAAGACTCCAGAATTTCTGATATACCTCTGAATTTCTTGCTAAAGGGCTGGGTTCATCTCCCAGCTCATCAGAAGGTTTTAAACTGACATGAGGGTGGCAATTAAAGTTTCTGTGACCAGGAAAAGCTGGACCCGTGTCTACCAAATGTCTTGTCCTCAGCAGGCAGCAGAGTAGCCAGCTGACCCATACGGCAGAGGTCAGTGAGTAGCAGAGGAGTGAATGAGCTAATGAGTTATACCTGAGCAGGAGAGGCTACGCTGTCAAGAAAGCAAGAGTATACAAAAATTACAAAAGGAAGAAGCTACTGCATTCCAGCTCTTCCCCTCCGCTGGAGAGAGGCACGATCCCGGTAACTTCTTGCATCCTTCCGTTTCGGCAGTGAAAGTGGAAGAAGACAGCTGCACTCTGGCATAAATCCTCAGAGTGCCAAAAGCACACAGAGTGCAGGTGGCTTGCGTTTTTTCTTGAGTCAGGGAAGAAACATTTCCCCCAAAGAGCTCTATCCTAGAGAGCGCTGCATGAAAACAGACTGCAGAAGAGGCCCCCAGAGGAGTAAGCCGGAAGTAGATTCTATGAAGAACAGGTTGGGAGAGCTTGGCAAAGTCAGCTTGCTGCTGCAGTCAACCACATCCCTGCAGGGTTTAGCTCTCCAGAAGTCCCCTTTGGGGGTCTCCCTGGCAGCCAGGAATGAAGCAGCACTCTCAAAACCCGAATCAGATAAGCAACAGAAACCCCTGAGGATGTTTAGTAGTTGCTGAAATCTTATGTTTTCTTTGTTAACTCTATTTTATATTTACAAACATGTTAATACAAGCACACAGAAATAAATATCATTGTCTTTTTTACACAGCTTTGAGTAGCTGAATAGGCAAAATAAATGCATGGAAAAAATAAACCATTTTTTAAAGCATAACCAAAATAAGATGTAACAGCTCACCCTAGGGAGCAAGTGGAAGATACAATTAATTTCATTGCTGCCAAGGATTATAGTCTTAATTTCATCTTCTCTCCCTCCAGAGACAGTGTTTTTCCATACAACCCTGGCTGGAATGAAACTTATGATTCTCCTTCATTCTCATTTCAAGGGCTATGATTAAATGTGTACACCGCCATGCACACCCAGCTTTGCCCTTTTCCTATAGTACTTGGAGTTATGAACTACTTAAAAACCCTGTCTCTCACTAGACTGTAAACTACTAAATGACAAGGTTTAGATGGCTTATGTATTCATTTACAATATAGACTTCTGCTGGTACATAATAGATAAGAAAATTTTAAGCTAACTTATAAATTTAAACATGGTAAAATATAACAGAAATTTTAATGAAATCAATTTTGTGGTTTATACTTAAAAATATATCCAATGTTTTACATCTGTCTAAATTTTTTAGAGAACAAAAAGGTTCCTAAACTTAAGACTTTGGGAAAATTACCTTGTGTGTTGACATGATTCTCAATTTATTCCAACTGCACAACCTGTAACAGTTGTACAATTTATAACTACTTTGCATATAGTACATGTTCAAGAAATGGCTACCATTGTTAACAATATTTCACTCACAACAATACTGGGATGAATTGAATTTTGATGTGAAGCTAACTAACACGAACAAATATAAAGATATTTGAATGAGTCAGTCAAAAAGGAGGTTGGGTACTAGCTAAATGCCTCTGAGGACAAAATACAACTTGCTACCATGCCTGGCAAATTTAGTTTGATCTCTGACACCTACATTTTGGAAAAGGAGAACTGATGACTCCCTCTACCTCTACATGCATGCTGTGGAATACACCACACACACACACACACACACACACACACACACACACACAATTTCAGAATAAAAAATGCTCTTACAAATACCAAAAAAGTAAACCATGCGATCTTATTTTAAAGAAAGAAAAAAAAGCATACATTTCGTTCATACTCTAACATATGTGATATGATAGGCCAAAAGTATCAATAGCATAAATTTTACAGGTTTCTCTGTATTACATAATTGAAAGGGGCAGATGTATTTAAATGTTACAAGCACTTAAATACTTCCACAGTGATTCTGTGGGGCTTGTTGTGATGTGTCCAGACGCATATTAACACAAGTCTGCATTTTTGGCTTCTCAGTGTGGTAAAGTTCCAGCTCATATCATCTTAACAAGCTTCTTTTTAATGAGAACTTTGTGATTTAATGGGTGGAGAAGTTAAAGGTGATATATGCTTGTAAAAATGCTTGTAGGAAACCGACAAGCTAAGGCAGTTCTTTTGTAACTCAAACAGTAAAGTGAAACTCTGCTGGCAAAAAGAGAACAGCATAGGTGAAAGGGGGGATCAGGGCAGACGTGGCTCCCTTCCTGGGCTGATGAATAGACGTTTTCCTTGTTCTGCATGCCTATAAAATGATGCACTGGGAACGCCGACTTCGGAACTGAGAACACCATTGTGTTAGGTGTAGGGCAAAGAGGAAGCAAGATAAAACCTCAGATTCTGAGTGGCTCCTGGACCAGTCTGCTTTCATGTGTTTTGATCCATCTACTGGAAGCTTTACTTAGGTCAGAAATTCCTTGTTCATTATGCGTCCTATTTAGTCTTCACCCTAAAAGCCATTTCAATTGTCATTTTCTCTTTTCTGCTCCATAGAACAGGTTCGTGTAGAATGAAGACATTAACCAAAAAAACGTTCTGAAGTGCCAATTAAATTATTTCCTGTGATATTGTGAGACATCCTAGAAACAGGCATCTGCATAATTGCCTTGTAGAAAATAGTAACACTTTATGGGCTCTTAATGACAGGAAGGTTAGAACATGCTTAGGAAGGATTTGTAAATTCTTCCTATTGTTTCCGTCCTTCGCCATTTATTTAAAACCTTAATTGAAGATGATTGAAAATCATGGTGCTTGAACAAATCCAGTGTATATTAGATCAAATGATGATATCACTTAGAAGCCATGTTAATTCCTCATTTGAACAGCTGCACACATAAATAATAATCATCTCTAAACTCCAGACTGATGACTATTTACATGTGGGATTTGTGGAAGATTGTTCCACTTGGGGAGGTGTAAAAGAGTCAATGATGAAAGGGAAGTCTTTCTACTGTACTGTGCTCTGAACACCAGATAACATAACAAGTGCCATGTATTATTAAATCTTTGAGCATCAACATATGTACTGTGTTCCACATATTTTATATGTGTTGCCCTACTAATGCCAGAACCAACTCAACCTTGTGGATACTGTCTTTAAGGGGAAGCTGACACAGGATTTCATTTGTTTCACCAAAAATGTACTGCTAATGCACACTCAGAGGTGAGATGATAAGAAACCCTAAATTAAGTTTGTGTGTATTAGCCATTAAACTGATAGGATTTACATGGCACAATTTCACATTACCTGTGTCTTATCTAAGTAGAACACTTCATTGTTTCATAGCACCTTAGATGATTGGTTCCTATTTTAATTAATTAATTAATCAATTAATTGCTCATTTAGTTTATATGTTTGTATGTTTTACCTGAATACGTGTGTGTGTGTGTGTGCTCGCACGCACACACACGTGTGTGTACCAGATGCATAGTGCCGCATGGAGGCCAGAAGATAGCGTCGGATCCCCTGGGAAGGGACTTACAGAAATTTAGGGGCCACGATGTAGTTCTTGTGAATTGAACCAGATTCTCTGAAGTTTAGCTTAACCACCAAGCTATAGCTGCAGATCTAATTGCTCCTTTTTTTAAAATTTCAAGAATGACTCCTTTGACTTGAATAAAAAAGAACTGCTGAAAAAATTCCAGTGATTAACTTTGCTTTCTGAATTCACAGATACTATGGTGACAAATAAGACATTCTCAATCCTAAGTCTTTGCTATTATGTAACCAATGCTATCAGCTGAAGAAATGAGAACCATGAGTGCATTGATAAGAAACATAATTTGCAGACCTTGCTAGATCCAGTGCATTTGTGTTCTTGTATAGACACCTATTTATCAATAGAAAGACAATTTATTTGCATGGAAGACACAAAGTAAAATAGTCAAAATCTGTTATTAAGTCTAGGCCAGTATTCTTTGATGATACTAGAGCTGTTTTTTATTTTGGTCTGGTTTTTTTCTTTTTTGTGTATGAGTGGTAAACTTAATTGAAGACGCAGGAAACAACCTAAAGCTTCCTCTCAGGAGAAGAATAGCAACTGGAAACTATGAGCAGCTCAATTGCTTGTATGTGTATGGATACAAACCTAACAACATTAATTAGGTCCAAATAATCTTCTGAGAATTCTGAATTACATTCTACATATTTTACAGTTATTGGTTCTCTGTAGGTTGCTTAGTCAGTAAGTGTTATACAGTCAAAGTTCCTTGAAGTGTGCATCATTTGTCATCCTCTGAGAGAGGCCATCAACACAACCATTGATCTATGTTTGATCCAGCTTGCGAAACTGCTGTTAGCATTTGAACAAAGTCTACACTTTAGGCAGCAACACCATTATATCTCCAATTACTATATGAATTTTCATCTTCACAAGCACAGTCGTCATCTGTGGCCTAAATAAGGAACGCAACTTATGGTACAAAAGTTGGCCTGGTCCGCTGCGATCAGGCACATGTTGTTTTAAATGCTCCCAAAATGAAGAATGCATGGTATTATATTCTTATCAAATCATATTTAAAGATTTATATTTAACCTTTGGAAATTGGATGCTTGCCCAAACTTCTTGGTTGCTGCTAGAAATGGTGGTTAGTGGGTTTCTCTAAGGCAAACTTGGGCCAAGGCAAATTTTCCTCCACCCACAGAGTTTCAGTAGGGTATATCCTGCCTCTTAGCTGCCAGGTGAGGCAAGCTGCCAGACTCCAGTAGGCTTACTGCAGCAGACATACGAAAAAGTCCGCCCACTCTGATGCTAAAGTAATCATCAGTCTTTCAACAGAAAATAAAATGAAGAAGAATGAGGAATTGGTAGCATTTCTCAGTCTGGAGGAAGCAACCAGAACTAGGGGATTGAACTTTGCTACCCTCTCTAGAATATTCCCTTTCTCTATCAGGCTCCAGAGTGGCTCATAACCAGAGCTTTAGTCTCACCATCTCCAGTCATTGCTCCTGGATCAATCTCTCTTTCTTAGCTATAGCACTGTATGTCACCAGGCCTTTCCTTTCTCCATTCTCACAGCTCTATGGAAGAGTGTTTAGAGAAACAGAATTGAGATGAGCTAGATCACAACTCACACCCATACTGATGCTGTAAGTTCTGGGGGGATGAAAATATGTAATGCCTTTTTGTTTTCTCCACTTTAGACTTCACTGGGGAAAAAAGGACCTCAAGCTGTAAATATACATAATTTAATCATTCCCAAGACCTGTCATTTTCGTAGAAGGTAAACATATTTACATCAATCTATTTATAATTAAGACTCTATTAAAACAAGAAGGTGAGCTTTAACCTGGTGGGTTATTAAGACAAGCTCTGAGAGAAAGTCTTGAGAAAGTCCCTGAGTCTTTCATATCTAGACTCAATATTTAGTGGAAAGATCCTTTAATTTCTGGTTCTGAGCCTCTGATCTCTGGTCTTAGGGTCATCTGGTCACTTCTAATATGTTTGTGGTCTCAAGATATGCATGCTATCCAATAAGGCTATGACCCCTGGTGTTCACCAATTTGGGGCACTTGGATTCTTAAAGCTGAGAATCGTAGCACCTTGTACAGTAGGCACTGATGCATTATCCCCACATGCACTATTGTCTCTACCTAGAGTATATACTGTTTTCAAAGTAGAGAACCCAGCTCACATTCCCAGAGCAAGAAAAGCAGAGGGTAAACCTTCCCATTACTTTCTTATGCCTCAAGGCCTTGACCCACTATATCCTATGGACATGGCTCAACCATAAATTTGAGTCTTGCTTCTCTCCTTCTATGTCTAAGTGGGATTGAAAACAAACACGGGAAGAGGGTTTGCCTTTGTCAGGCAACTGCGAACACAGTTGTGTGCCTCCCAGAAAGTGTAACAAAAACTCTGGATGCCTTCAGAACTGGCAAGTAAGAAACTTATTGATATCTCATTTTAATGGATTTGTCCAACCTAAGAAAGAAATTTTATTGGAATATATCTTTTATCACACAATAAAAAGTTTAGTTAAGTTGTACAGAAACACACCAATATTCTATACTGACTTTTCTAGTCCCCACTTATCTCATGCATTGTATTGGAAATCTCAGCAGTGAGTTGTAAACAATCATGTTTAAGGATTTTAATCTAGTAGATGGCTGTAATTTATGTTCTCGCATTTAATCTCTGTAATCCCGTCTGATGCTGTTTTATACTATGAAGCTAAGAGTCAAGTTGGGAACCAGTTACCACACAACCCTGAACTGGAATCTTCACTACTCATTAGTCTGATAGTTAAATGCGCCTAATTATTTCTCCCTTTGTAATCGTGTCAACATATAATTTCACCCACATATAGGCATGACTCTTTAAATGATTTCATTTTCACCATTCAGTATTTTCGTTAGTACAGAAAGGGGCAGAAGCTCTGGTCTTATTCAATTTTCCACTAGTTTCCATCAATGTTTCATCTTCTGCATGTATTACTCCTCTTCCTTTACACCTGAATCAATGAGCTGTGGTCATAATATCAAACATAAAATAGTATTTTTAATTGACCAGTCCACCTTTACCTATTTTCTTTTAGATCCCAGACAAATGCTCCACAAGGTCTTTGCTTCAGGACCAATGTCAGAAACGTGAATGATCACTTGTTTTCCAAGAATATCATCCTCATGGAGTCATTAGAAGAAAATTATTCTTCCTGCCTTCATTTCTTCTTTGTATTTACTGACTTGGCAATTTTAGTTCAACTGTTAATTGTAAATAATCATATATGGCATTTTCCTTTTTAAAATCAAGTAACTTTTAGTTAATAAAATCAGTTCTGTATCATCAGGAATAAATTCACTAGTTTAAATCAAACAAAATCAACCATCTATATTAACATTGGCATGTCTGAACACCCTCTCCTTACTCTGCAGTATGTTTACTCTAGTACATTAGTTTTGCCAAGTAAAGACCACAGTTTTATTTACATTGTTTGAGGTTACACAAATCATTCCACAGAAAATATGTTTAAGAAACATTCATTGCCAAGGAAATCAACGGTCTCCACTTATCTAGCTCCTAGTAATATTAAACACACATGGGGTTGAATACGAAGATCACCTATAAATTGGAGAAGTGACAACACCTACATTCACAGCTGAATATGATATGTGATATTTTGTGTGGATCAACATCCATGCCTTAAAATTTTGATTAAACTGTTTGTTATATTTTTCAATTGCAGTAGGCAAATATTCTAATCTCTGTGTACATTTGTTGTACCTAGCAACATCAATAGGGTGCTTTGAAAAGGAACTAGGCATTATTTCATTTAAGTTTTACATGTGTTCATTGTTCAAATTGCTTGAACAATTGTTTGCCACAAGTACACATCATTATGCATTCTAAGTTTAAAGAAGAATTACTATGTAAGAGACATACAGCTAGCTGTCATAAGAAGGAGAAGTATTCTACTTATTAAGGAGACACATGACTTTTGACAGGTGATTGCATGCATGCTTTTTAAATCAAAGGATAGCTACAAGATTGAATATTTCATTCTATTATTGTATATATTTTTCTATGATACATTCATCAGATATCTTGATCATTCATTAAGGATTTGATGAAACTGAGAAGTGGGAGCCACAGATATTTCTTGGGATAATTAATCCTTGACAATGCACAAGAAGCTTGGTAAACATATAGATAGTATAATAAGTCAATGATAAAATCCAAATATCCCAATGGCAAAGACAAGAATATACATTTATGCGGGAATAAACTTATAAAAATGTACAACCTCAAAAAGTAACACACTAAGACCTCAGCAAGATTTTATCAGAGACAAAACAAATCAAGAATACTAATGAAATTGGATCATTCAAAGTGTTGGTGAGCATATGGACTAAGGGAACACTCACACCTACACAGAGGTGGCTTTAAGAATGAGAATAAATTTGGAAAAATATTGTTCATAACATTCATTCACATGTCCTGTGGGTTAGAACTTCTACTTGGAAACATACACTCTAAGGAAGGTGTTGTAGAGCTGGGTGTGGTGATTCATGCCTCTAATCATAGCACTTGAGAAGTATAGCTACGTCACAAGTTCAAGACCAGCATGGCCTATATGAAACTCCACAGCAAGCACCTACTTAAAAAAGAGAAAAAAAGGATGAGAAAGAGAAACAGAGAGAGAACACATAGATACATAGCTACTTGCAATCATACGGAACTTAAAACCTGATGTCACCATGTCACACACAAAAGTGAATATACATATTGTGTTTTATACTATACATTTGAAAAAGAAACTTACTATGAAACAAAATGTGTTGCAACATACAATGATACTGATAAAAATCATGTTCCTGCCTGAGAAATTTCTGAAACCAGCCCAGATGTCCATCAAAAGAGTATTTCTGATGCTTTACAAAATTAACATGGCCTGCCTTGTAGAACAATATGGCTATTCACATCAACATGAGAGACTCTTAAAAATCAAGCAGACTATCCTAAAGACATATAGTAGAAGAACATATAGATTGCACTTCTTTACTGAAGTGTAAAGTAAGCAACAACAGTAAGAAGGAAAAATATAAAATGAGAACTTTCGAATAGAGTTAAGATAAACAATGATGAACATACAGGTAGAGATCTCACAGAAAAGATGCTAGCTCTTAAGCTGAAATAGATGCACAGGTATGTAAATAATCATGATACATGAGAAGACATTCACAAATATGAAAAGTAAGTGCCATCATTTTCCTTGAACATTGTATAAGACATACTCATTATTAATTTCATAGCAGGACTTATCATCTCAACATGACTGATATAAATATTGGGCTGGAGCAAGCATTCAGTTGTGACACCCATGAACATCTGTGCACACTACAAAACATCTCATTGAGGGTAAAACTGTATCTACTTAATATCTATCATTTTGCATAAATAGGTTGTGTGAAATATCCAAGAAATTCTATCGCATTCATTTTCAAGAAAATATTAGGATCTAAAAACCCTGATATGGCCACTGTTACACATAGACATGAGAATAGATATATACATAACACCTATAATACTGAGCATGCTGTTTTTTACTTATCACAAGCCTTTACACTGCACAAAAATATTATGAATCAGAGCCGAGAAAGAGGGGGGGTGAAGGAAAGGAGGACATGGAGGAGCAGGAAGGTTGAGTCAGGAGAAGAACAAAGGAGAGCAGGATGAGAGACACCATAATAGAAGGAGCCCTAATAGGTTTAAAGAGCAATCTGGTACTAGGGAGATGTCTAGAGGTCTACGAGGGTGACACTAACTGGCAATCTAACCAACCGTGGAGAGGTTACCTTAAATAACTTTCCCTGATTGACGACTTCCTTGTATGCTATCCTAGAACCTATAACCAGTGGCTGAAGGAAGCACAGGCAGATACCCACAGCTAAACACTGAAATGAATTCCTAGAACCCAGTTGCAGAGAGGGAGGAGTGATGAGTAAAGGAGCTAAGACTTGGTGGATGAAACCCAGAAACAGCTGACCTGAACAAGGGGGATCTGATGGACCCCAGACTGATGGCTGTGAGGCCAACATGGGACTGATCTAGACCTCCTGAATGTGAGTGTCAGTGAAGAGGCCTCGGCATTCTTTGGCGCCTCGGGCGATAGATCAGCATTTATGCATGGCATCCAGATGGACTTTGGAAGCCCATTCCACATGGAGGGACGCTGTCTCCACCTGGACACATGGGCTTTGGCCCAGGCCCTGCTCCAGATGATGTGACAGATTTTGGAGATCCCCATGAAGGGCTTCACCCTACTTGAAGTGTGGAGGGGGGATTGGGTGGATGGTTGGGGGAGGATTGAAAGGGGACAGAGGAGGAGGGGAGGGAGAGGGAGCTGGAATTGACGTATGAAACAAACTTGTTTCTAATTTAAATTAAAAATAAATAAATAAAATATGTACAAAACACTAAAAAAAAGAATTTGCACTTTGAAAAACTCTTATCTCTTCATGAACTTGTACATATTATTCTTTAAAGATGCTTCTATCTCCGCCTAGATTATAGCCATTCTGACTCACAAAGAAGTCATCTTTTTTCCTTCTTTGTTCATTCTCCAACTCCTATAGTCTCCCATTGTAGCCTATGCATACTGATGCACACTGGTAAACACACACACACACACACACACACACACACACACACGCACGCACATTGAATTTTATCGACTTACTCTCCTCGAGGCTGCCACCAGGCTTTCTTCATTATTATAAATGTCGCTGAGCTTGTTAACTCATCTTGTCTCAGTAAGTAATTGATAAATGTATGTTGAAATCTTAAAGTCAATGAATTAGTTTGAGAGCTTTGTTAACTTCAAAAGAAGCAACTAAATCAATTCTGTTGCTAACTCATGGCTGAAACTGTAGACCAAATACTGTTTGAGGGCTGAAGACATGGCTCAGAGCTCAAGAGCACTGACTGCTCTTCCAGAGGTCCAGAGTTCAAGTCCCAGCAGTCACATGATGTCTCACAACCATTTGTAATGAGATCTGGTGCCCTCTTCTGGCCGGCAGGTGCACATGCAGGCAGAAAACTATACACAAATAAATGAACCTTTTTTTTTAAGAGGCAATCAAAAAAAAAAAAAGAAAACAAATACTGTTTGAATTATTTTGGTCAAAGCTTTGGACATTTAATAAGTGATCGTAGAGATCAAGTAGACCTAAACTTTTTAAATACAGCAAGTGAGAGAATAATTTCATGCATATCCAAGGCTTGGAAACGCAAAGATTTTCAAGTTTAGCAATAATTGCTTTCTCATTTTCAAACAAAATTAGTATCTTGAAAACATTTGTTGGGTGGAGCCATGACTTGAGTTAAAAGAAGCTTCTCCTCTTGAAGCATGCTGGAATGTGGTTCATAGCACCCATACACCTGCCTGTAAGTCCAGCTTCATGGAATCTGATGCTCTCCTCTGGCCTCTATGGACAACTGCACCCATATGTACATGCCACACACACACACACACACACACACACACACACACACACACACACACACCATACACACACATAATTAGAAACATTCAGTCAAGGACCTGGAGAGATAGCTCTGTAGTCAAGAAAAATTCAGGATAGTTTAAATTTTTATTCATGTTAAAAAAATTAATAGACTGTCAATAATCCCAAATCCATTAATGTAAGAACAAATACGATAGAAGTTAAAGAAACGCCCACCCCAGTGCACTGTTTTTTTTTTTTTATTTCAGAGCCTTCACTTTACAGCCAGATTAAGGACGGTTTATAAAGATGAGTTTTTATTTAAAAATAAAATCAGAGCCGGGCAGCGGGGCGTTGGTGGCGCACGCCTTTAATCCCAGCACTCGGGAGGCAGAGGCAGGCGGATCTCTGTGAGTTCGAGGCCAACCTGGTCTACAGAGCGAGTTCCAGGACAGCCTCCAAAGCCACAGAGAAACCCTGTCTCGAAAAAAACAAAAAAAAAAAATCAGATCCGGGCAGTGGTGGTGCACGCCTTTAATACCAGCACAAGGGATGCAGAAGCAGGTGGATCTCTGGGAGTTCTAAACCAGCCTGGTGTACAAGAGCTAGTTCCAGGACAGCCTGCAAAGTCACAGAGAAACCCTGTCTCAAACCTCCCCCCCCCCCACAAAAAAATTCAGGTCCATGCGAACTGGTTATATTGAGGTACAGAAATTATTCTTCCCTATGTGAGCCTACAATCCCAGTCCCAGTGAGTCTGGGAAACAGGAAGGTTCCCAA